TCTCTCTCTCTCTCTCTCTCTCTCTCTCTCTCTCTCTCTCTCTCTCTCTCTTTTAAACAAGAAAAAATGCCAGAAGAAAGAAGGAATGTGAATCAGCTGCCATGTAAACTAAGATCATTCCCCTTTGGCCCATCCACTGGGCCTTCAAAGAGACTTATCTCTTAAGTATGTTACTCTCAGTTTCCAGGCCACATTTTTGTTAAAAGAGGATAAATCAGGCTGTCTTTAGGGTGTTGGGCTAAAGATATATGTCCAAGATTGTATGGAATATTTACACTACACTTTAGTTATGAACACTTTCTTTGACACTTTTAAAAGAATATAACCAACACGATTATGAAATGCCAAAAGTAATGCTGAAACAAGTACCCAGAGATAAAGGAAGTATCTTGGTACTTGAAAGATAAGTTTTTGTTGTGAAATTTACCTTACTTCTGATAACTGCATACTTCACAATTTAGTAATGTTCAAAGTCTTTTCTCTGGAGTCAAGAGAAAAAGGATTGTCTAGATTTTCTTAATAGCTAAGATTTCATGAAAACAAAACATACAGTTAAAGCATTATTTTGGAATTATAGAACACATGACATTATTGTGTTCAAAGCTTTTTTTTTTTTCCTCATAAGGGAGCATCATGAAGCTCAGAAAAATTTTTCAAAAAGTGACTTATCCAAGATTTCAAACCTGTGGCAGCTTGACTGTAAAAAAGGTAAAGAAAGAAGAAAATGTGTCCTAAAGTAAAAGCTGCTTCACTTTCTGCCTTCTGCTCTTCGGCTCCCGTTACTCCTCATTAGGTGGCACTGTCCCTCGACTTTGGAGATGCAGAGATTCAAAATGCAAACACTAACCTGTCCCATGAATAAGACAAACAAGGTAGGCAAACAGAGCCTACCTGCCCACTTACCCAAGTCAGAACACTGAACAACTCGAAGATGGCACTGACAGCGGAACGGACACACAGGGCCCATGGGGGGCAGTTCAGGAATGTCATATCCCGGGCCAATCCCAGAAGCCTCATCTTCTAGCATAAAGTCAAATAAGCCTTTCTGTTGAAATGGTCCTGCCCAGGAAACTTGTGCAAGCAGGAAAAAGATGATAGTTGCCTTCATGATATAGCACATATATTTTCACAACCTGGGAATCTAGGAAAACAATGAGAAGTTTAGCAGGCGTAGCGTTGTACAGTCAAATATTACTTACATCATTACCCCCTGGAAAGCAAGCACAGAGCAACATAGTATTGGTTTTGAGGAATCAAAGAGCATTAGCGATGTATTTGAAAGGCGACAAGGTAACTGTAGTCTCACTTGACACCTATTTACTTATGAAAAGAAATTTAAATATCATTTAAACCTCTTTGAATTTGGGGCCTACATGAAGAAGATATCGTTTCTGCTCACATCATATGCACATTTTTCTGATGACAGGAAATCAATTTGAATTTTTCAGTGCTCATGCAACATGAACTTTGCACAGGTAATATTCCATCTACAGGCAAGCATCCCCGCTTTCTGCTTCAAAAGCATCTCTAGAAGCAAAGCTCATTTCCCATCTTAGTATTTCTCATGGACTAGGCCTTCCTGTCACTCACTGAAGTATTAAAAAAGCCTTCTCAATTCTGCCTTGAATGCTTCCTCCCTTTTAAATCATCTTCCATTCTGCTGCCCGAGTGATCTTCTAAAAGGTTCGCTTTCATCCTGTTCATTTCTATTGAAATCACTTTGTTGATTTCCCACGGCTCGCCAACAATGTCCACATGCTCTGTGCTGTACGGAAGGCCACTCGCTTTGACGTCCACTAATACCTCTAGCCACATTTCTCTCCGTTTCTCACCTTCTACCAGATCTCACCTCTACCGTGACCCTCAAAGCCACTTGCCATTTTAGAACACCTACCTTGTGAGAACAGCGGTAAGATTAAATGAGATAATAGATTTTCCTTCTGCTTTCCCTGGCTCATCCAGCCAGGATGCTGCTTTCAGCCTCTTCTGTGCTCTCAAAGCACGTTGCTCTTACCTCTTTTAAAGAATTTATCACACTATATTGCAATTTGTCTGCATACTTGGTCTGCCCCACGCCCCCTCTATTAGACCATGTATTCTTTCAGGGTGTGTCTTATTATTCCTTGTTCTGTGCTCAGCCCTTGCACAATATTTTACACACAAATGACTCAATTGACCATCAACTTATTAACAGTGAAATTTATTCCATATGTTTCAAGCCACCAGTTTCATTTTTTAAAATACAATATTATTTCTCCTTTGATTCTGAACTTCTCGTGTAAGAAGATTATCAAATTGACAACCTCGGTTTGCTATAAGCAAATCTCAGATGGAAAAGTAAATCCATTGGCTAGCTTTTCAGACTGGGTTCCTTTTAGTGAGTCAGTAAATTCACATGCAAAGTTATTAGTATAATGTATAATTATAATGTATATGTTATCTGCTCTCTACTAATAGGTATTTGTAAAATACAAAATAGACCCAAAGAATACACCTTTGCGAAATTCATTCATTCAACAAGCACTATGTTGTTAAATTGGCTGATGTGAATTGAATGATTCTGAATAATAAAAAGTACTGTAGCTGATATATAGAGAACAGGAAGTCCACTTTTGAGAAGAAATATTTAACAATCCCATTTAGAGTCTTTTAAGTGTTCCCAAAACAAACTGCATCATCTCTACTTCGAAATGAACAACTATGGAGAAGAATCTGTACTAAAGCTGCACACTCATAATTAGAATTAAATAACTGTTTTGAGTTATATTATCTAAGAGTAGCAAAGCAAAAAAGAAAAGAAAGTCATGGATAAACTGAGTGCATCTTCTAAAAGTTTTTGCCTCTGCAGAAAAAGCAACTGTTTTCAATTATACCTTTGTTCTTAGGTTATATTTAGTAGTGAAGTATGTTTGAGGCAGTATACACAATACACACTTATGGCTTGAGTTTAAAAAATGATCATAAAAATTGTTATTCACATGGTTCTTCTAAGTTCAGCGCTAAGTTTTCTCTAGGAGCCCATTTCTCTGCAGCTACTTTTTGTATAAAGAGGAGACTGTTGTTTTGGCAGAGTATTTGCTTGGAGTGACCTAAAGGAAGGCTTTCTATCTGTTTCACATTAAAATGCAATGTGTATGGTCTACCACAAGTTTGCTAGACTTGCATATTTAATGCCTTACAGTTTTGCAAGAGAGATGGGGCAAAGTAATTGCAGATTTAATAAATAGCAACAAAAGTTAATGCAGATGCTGCTTTATAATCTTTTCTGCAGAGTAGAAAATGCCTGGTTGTTTCACTAACAATCCAAATATGGATGTGCTCAGAGGAATAGTATCATCATTTTTACTTGTGTACTCTGGGTGAGTGGTGTAAACTCTCTGCACAATAGTTTTGAGAGGAGCTGAATACAGTTAAACAGCTTGCAATTTTAATTACTTATTTTTATATTACATTTGCTTGTATCTGTTTGTGTGTGCATGCATTATTTTACTCCGAATTCTTAAAGAAAAATACTTCTCTGTGAATTCTTGCATGAAATAACTTCTTTTACATTAGTGTCATGTTACATGAAGACCCAGCATCTTAAAACTAGCAGGGTGAGCTGTTGTTACTTATTATTTTTTCAATCAATTCCTTCCCTCCTTGGAAAAATCAGAAAAGAAATAAGGAGAAAACAGAAAATCCCTCTATAAAACAAGGAGACTGTTATTGAGATAATATTCTTTTTACATTTCATTGAAATTCTTTTAAGTATCCTCAAAATGTATGTAATGATGGAGTCCAGTAATGCTAGCTGCCATGGTTTGTCAATGTTTTATCAAAAGCATCATTTTCCAGCTCCCAAACTGTTTCTTCCTATTTAATTAACCGTATTGTTCAAATCAACATTTATACCTTTGCTATGACTTTCAAAGCTAAAATTTAATCCTCAAGAGATAAGCAAAACTGTACATGCAGCATCAAATTAAAATCCTCCCGCACTAAGAGAATTCAAAACCCCAATAATGATATAAATAATAACAGCAGCATTTATCCATAAGTAAGGGCTTCTATAAAAAGCCTTTGGCTTTTTTTTTCCTGGTAAAAGGAGCAAGAGGAAGAAAAAGCCACAGGCATGTACATGACTGGGAGCTCACTTAGGCAGCGGTCATCGGGTTAGCCTCTTTTAAGGTTAGAACAAAAATTAACCCACAACCTCATTTCATAGTGAATGTACCTTACAACAAAATTTCACTTGTGTTTAAAAACTGATAGGGAAACTTCTTTATATTCAAGGAATCATACAACTGTTGAAATATGTTTTAACTTTAATATAAAACATATTTTCAGTATTTACTTTCACCTCCCTGGTAATAATGTTTATTTATTGCTGTGGTTATAGAAATATACATTAGCTCTCTAAAGCTGATCAGCAGAGTTCACTTCTTTGAAGTTTTAAAAGTTTATAAAGCATACAAGAATTCAGGAGGGAAAGTAAGCCTTAAACGTTCAATCTAACTACGAATAGTATATTAGTTTAGAATACTTTTCTGTTCACACTTCATAAAGAGCTAAACATTTCATTAGCACAAATATAAAAACATCAAGAATAGAGAGTCATGGTGTTAGGTTACAGTTTTTTTAATAAGCATCTTTGCAAGAGCAGAAGAGAAAGACCCAAAACAATACATTCAATCAATTTACCAAATAGTTTACTTCTGTTTCTAAGGAATATTTTTTTCAAATGCTGCATAAAGATTATTAAAAGTCTAGCAGGATTCTGTTCTTTTCTTTTTCTCACCCAATAACTCCTTTTGCTCTCCACTTCACCGAGGTTTCATTAGCCTGTAGTACAGTTCAGGACAAGTATTGAAAACCATACCTGTTAATCCGGGTATTTGCCACAGGGACCCCGCAAAGCTGAGATGTAATTACACTAAATATTCAGCCCAAGCAAAGGAGTTTGCAGGTGTGGAAAAAGGAGGGGGTAGACTCTGCTCTGTAACTGTCACTAGGTTGAAAACCTCCTGCTTCTACTCCATAGCACAGTTAAAAAATAAGGTTTCCCTCAATGAACACAATCCGGCTGACACCCACATTAGATCATATGGTAATGATATGTCTCTTGTATTGTAGCCAGAAACTTTATCGGCCCTTTTTCTTCCACATTTGTTTTATTCCTTTTGCATCTGCTTAAGATTCTAAGATGCTTGTGTAGCTTAGTGCAGCAACTTGTCTTGAAATTTGTTTTATTGATGATTCTTTTCCTAAAATATTTTAACTAGAGAGATTGTTTCCCCACCCCCAACACCATTCCACTATCTACTCCTTCTAGTTTTATTACAATAAACTTAATTCTCCCTCTGATGTGATGATTTTTCTTGCGGTCAGGATATGAAGTCTGGAAAATAGAATGAAATTTACTTTGCTGTTTCAAATGTGTTCTGTAAAAGTAAATGAGTAGCCTTACGTGAAACTCCTCATTCTGATCCTTACTTGTTTCAGAGTGTTCGTGCAAGTTGAAGTATTATGCTATGGAGTTTTGTATGGATTTCGAATGCATTTCTAGAGTTTGCTGGAAGAAAGCCAGGGTTTATATGAAAAGTATGTTATTTATTACTTTCATTACTCATAGTTTAAAATCTTTCTTTTCACCTCTTGTTGATGTTTTTAAAATAAAACATAAATAGTAGAATCTGGTAAATGTAAATTAATACACATATGAAAAATTTAGTTCTCACAGATTATACATTTATATAACTCAGAACTCTGAAGTCTATGGCTCTTCCCAAATTTCAGTAAGTGGAGAAAAAGAAAGTGCGAATACAAGGAAAAATAGTTCTTTAGCCACTGGAAGGATTTTTTTTGAGTTTTTACAATCCCCTTGCTGGGTGCTGTTGGTTGTTTCTGTGCTAAGTGTCTATGTTTTGACTTGCACCCTTATGCCCTGGCCCCTAGGCTGTTACCAGGTGGAAACCTGCAATCAACATCTGTGAAATCTGAGACAACACCAGCTCCCATCCTCCACCTCCCTTCCCTCCTAGTCTTCTACGTATGCACTTCCACAGTAAATAGCTTTGGCCTTGATGAGACTTGGAGGAATTAAATTCTTAAGTGGGGATATCCAAAGGTGGGCGGCATGCTTCCCAAGGCCAGCTTCCCAGGCTTTACCACCTGACCCCATGTTCCCTCTCCTTGATATTTCATAACCACATAGTCAGTTATCCTCATAGTTTGAAAAAAGGCCAGCACCCATTTTTCTGGATGTTGATGAGGAGGCTGTAATCCTCTCACCTGGGTTTAATTGGTCTCCTCTTCTTAGCCCACCTTGCACGATATTTATCTTTTTCAAGACATGCAATTGTTTCTTCCTCATATTAGACTTATTTACATGTACGTCTTACTCCAAGGTAGAAAGAAGTCGCATTCAAATATTTAGAGTTCTTGCACTCAACTTAATCCTAATAAATCATAAATTATCAAGAACTGCTCCATGAATCGTTAAGGAGAGTCAAATATTGGATATGAACAACAGTGTGAGTATTGCCTTCACCTCCTTATCAAAACCCAAACCTACTAAAGTATATGATAATGAATTATAGAACTTTGTGGTGTCTTGCTTTAAAAGTCAGAAAGAGAAAAAAGAGGTAAAAGGCTATTAAAGAAAAAGTAGAAGAAAAACAATACGAGGAGAGGAAAAAGGCATCGTACCTGGCCTATAGATTACTTGAATCTTATAAAAAGTGCTTTGGTTAATGATCACATCTTGGCTTGTTCCTATGGTGGTTAATTATATGAATTTAGGCAACTCGCTTACCCTTTCTGAACCTTAGTTTACACATCTTTAAAATGGGAAGCGATTATTACTTAATTCATTAATGCTAGGGCAAAGATGAAAGGAGGTAATACACTTGAAGCATTTAATTCACAGCATGGCCCTTTAAGGCAGTGTTAAAACATGTAAGCTTTGTTGTTTTCTGATGTTTTTGAGTTAGGTAAGGGAAATAATATTTTCTGCTTCTGTTTTATACATAGGAAAATTTAAACACAATGACCTACTTAGGTTCAGAGAACTGGTAAGAACCAAAGCAGAAACTAATACCCAGGTTTTCTAACATTTAATGCAGTTTGCATTGCGACATGGCATCTAACTCTTAATACATACAAAATTGGGGATCAACACTGTTGTGTAGTTTGTCTTTGCAGATTATTTTCAGAACTCTGACCACATCATAAGGATTTAAATTTTTTTTTATTTATCCAGGAAAAATGAATATTTCCATTTATTGTTATGATGTTTTGTTTTTTAGTTTATGAAACTTGTCTTCAAAAATCCCAAACAGTTTACTAAAAATCAGGTTACTTAAAATCTGAATATCTTGAACCAGATATTGAGTTACATATGCATTGGGACATAGGGGAAACCAAGCTGCAGCGAAGTCACATGCAGGTAAGTCCCAAAGAAGTCTTAGGACTGTACTGAGAATCCACATCTCTTAGCCCAGACAGAAGTGGAACAATTTTGAGGATAGAATCTGTGCCTGTGCCAAGGTAGCTTGCACTCATCCCAGCTTTGGAATCTTTGAGGGTTAGATTCCCTTAAACTGTGGCTGCAGTATGGTTATGAGAAATATTCCAGTTCAGAGCATGTACCATATCTGCTGCTAAAACCACCTAAGTGGTGTTTTCTATGGACAACCCACTAGCAAACAGGGCAACTGTATTCCACATGTTGTCAAAGTTCATTTCAAGGCTAATCACTCCTGATCCACCTCTCCCCCAAGCAACTTAAAATTGTACCTGTGCAGTATGTGAAGATGTGAAGAATGCCAGATCTTAGAAAGGCTGCCTTATCCGCCTTTGATTTCCTAAGAGGTCTGGAAACAAGTGATTATCTTCACAGACCTGATGCGACTTGTATATTCTTCGACTAACTCCTCAGAGTTAAGTTAGGGATCGCAGTGGATGCTCTGGCGGTCTACTTACCAGGCTAGATGGGTTTCTTTCTCAGCTAAGGGAGGCTAAGGTAGAATCTGGGGAAGCTTTGACTGCTGGATGGCTTGAAACCAAATTTAGTGTAGGAAAGTTTTACCTTGGCTCTCTTCCCCTTTTCCACACACAGAGCCATCATCACTGTGTTCAGTGCCTCTTACCTTCCCCTCTCCCACAGCCTCTGAGACATGAAAAGTGGATAGCTACAGTGTTATTTCCTTCATCAATCAGTGTTAAGGTCTAAGAAAAGTTAATACTTAGAGCATTTCTGAGCTGCTCCTCATGTATCTCCATCAACACATAAGCTGCTATTGCTTTTTCAAGTTGTGCTGCTACAAATCTTATCTAGGACACACTAGTGCAACGAGCAGCCTACACCCCTACTACAGTCCAGTAATTTTTTTTCTGTCTTACAAGTGAATAAATCATCTAAGCGATAGAAGAGTTTGCAGAACAGCAACATTGAACATAGATAGATAAGCAAGGGGCTCAGCCTCCATTTTTTTCATTGAGTTTATTCGTACTTTCTAGCTATATAGTACAGCTACATTCATCATTGGGATCTTGTACTTTCACATGACTTAGCTTGGTTCTTATTTTTCCCTATGCCCCTGCCCTCCTTTCACCCGCCCGACCCTTCCCTATTTACAAAGACTTTGTTTCCATTTTTTCCTTTTCTCATATTTTTTTCTTTTTCTTTCTTTCCTTTTCCCTACCCTTCCTACTTTCCCTACTCCTTTCACCCCTTTCTACCTATTTCCCAACCTCCATTTTTTAATCATTAAATAATAGGTAGTTCTTTTTATTTCTAACGTTTTATTGGATTCCAAGTCCTGTCGTAACCCATTTGTGAAATGTACAGTGACCCATAATTTTAAGAATTTCTACTCTGACCAGTGACATAGAAATGAAAACAAAGACTGGGACGGGATTCGTAGTGAATTAGTGTACGGAAAAGTGATGGAGATACGAACCTCTTTCTCTGCAAACCATAATCACATTTCCGAATCCCATGACATTTTTTATGAATGCTCAAGAAAATCATTTTTATCAGTCGCAGCAAGAGAGTCATTATTTCCTTAATATTGATCATCAGTTTGTACATTTACAATAGGCCAAAATTTATTGAATAGCTGGTCATTTATGCATGGCACATGCATAAATTTTATTTTATACAAAAAATTCCTGCAGCCTATTCTTCAATCAGTAGAAGGTATAGACTGAAGAGCCACTGTAGGAAAAAGCATTCACTTTAGACCCATGGAAGGTAGGAAGAACCTAAAGTTCACCGTAAAGGGCCTGGCTTCACAGGACTTACACCACAGAAATAGAGAAGAAACTACATATTTATAGGGTAGTGTTTAGTGTCATGGTACCAGAAAACTCACAGTACGCAATTCCTAGCCAAAGAATGATGTAATTAACAATAATTGCCTTAGAAAGGCAGAGGTGGAATGAAGGACAGATCACTTTACAGAGGCTGGTTAGTGAGTGTTTATGGAGAACTATGCACAATTTGAACTGAATCCCGAGGGACCAAAGGAATGCGCACGGAATGAAAAGGGAGAGATGGCTTTTAGACTTGAAAAAACTGCACCAATAAAACCTTGGGAATGGAGAAGCAAAACATAAATAAATCAATGCGGATTAAGTCAATGCGTTCTTTCAAACATGTGTGTTCCTTTATCATCCTTGAATTCGCAACAGTTGCCATAGTGTCTAACATATGGAAGGCGCACACAAACAGGGAATGTTCAACGGTCGCAGAAAGAACTAAAAAGAGATAGGGAAATGGTAGCGGGCTGATTCTAACTAGGGAAAGACTTGAACGTCTCCGAGTGCACTCGCCTATCTGTTCACCCAATATGCATTTGGTGACTACTGTACTCCAGGTACTTGCTAATGCTGGATGTCATCAAAGGTTCTTGAAGGAGGTAATAACATGAAAACATTTTAATTTTAGCAAATAAAATCTATCAGTGGTTGTAAAGCTATTGCCAAGGAAACTATTCATGAGGTTATTGCTTTATTTTCAGTATATCAAGAGCAGGCTTCTACAGATGTATGTATGACAAAACATGCTTCAAAATATATCAAAG